CAATCCAGGTGGTCAATTTTCTTCTCTCGGTTTAACCTCATCATCTCCTACAGACCCGGATCCAAGAATGTCAAACCCGATTCTCTCTCTCGTCTTTATTCTGTTGATCATCCCAAGACGCCTGAACCTGTTCTTCCGGCTTCCTGCACAGTGGGGGTGGTCAACTGGGAAATTACTGATCTCATCAACTCCGCCCTGGCCACTGAACCCGATCCAGGTAACGGTCCCACTAACCGAACCTATGTTCCATCTTCCGTCAGGTCCCGTCTCATCCAATGGATGCATGCCGCCAAGTTCTCTGCTCATCCAGGAGTCAGCAGAACAATAGCCCTGATCTCAAGACGCTTCTGGTGGCCCACCCTCCATAGAGACGTCAAGGAGTATGTGTTGGCTTGCTCCACATGTGCCCGTAATAAAGCCTCACACCAACCTCCTTCTGGCCTGCTTCAGCCGCTTCCTGTTCCCTCGCGTCCTTGGTCCCATATCGCCATTGATTTCGTCACCGGCCTCCCCGTTTCTCGAGGTATGTCCACCATTTTCACCATTGTTGACCGTTTCTCGAAGGCCTGCCATCTCATTCCCCTTAGGAAACTCCCCACGGCCTTTCAGACAGCCCAGCTCCTCATCAAACACGTCTTTCGTTTACACGGCATTCCCCAAGAGATCCTCTCTGACCGGGGTCCTCAGTTCATTTCCCAGGTCTGGAAGGCCTTCTGTTCAGCTCTCGGCTGCAAACCCTCTCTGACCTCTGGATACCACCCCCAATCAAATGGTCAGACTGAGAGGATGAACCAGCAGTTGGAATCAACCCTTCGTTGCCTCACATCTAACAATCCCGTGGACTGGAGCCAATTTCTCCCCTGGATCGAATACGCGCACAACTCCCTCAGATCTGCATCCACTGGTCAATCACCTTTTCAGGTTAGTCTCGGCTATCAACCTCCACTTTTCCCCGCAGACGAGAGAGATATTTCAGTCCAGTCCGTTAATCAACACATCCGCCGCTGCCAGAGAATCTGGAGGGAAACCATCGCCACCCTCAACCAATCATCTGTGTCCATCAAACGCTTCGCCGACGCCAGGAGTCGTCCCGCCCCCGAGTACACTGAGGGCCAGGAGGTATGGCTGTCTACTCGAGACATTCCCCTCAAGGGGATGTCTCGAAAGCTCTCTCCTAGGTTTATTGGCCCCTACAAGATCACCCGAGTCATCAATCCCTCAGCCGTCCGTCTCCAACTACCTCAGTCCCTCCGAATCCACCCTACCTTCCACGTGTCCCAGATCAAGCCTGTCTCCTCAAGCCCTCTGTGCCCACCGTCCGACTCCCCGCCACCCGCCCTGGAGGTCGATGGTCATCCGGCCTTCACTGTTCGCGCATCGTGGACTCCCGTCGACGAGGTCGCGGATGGCAGTACCTCGTCGACTGGGAGGGCTACGGACCGGAGGATCGCCAGTGGGTTCCGGGCTCGTACATCCTTGATCCTGCCCTTATCGAGGAGTACGAGCGTTCCTGCCCTTCGACCTCTTCCGGACCGCCAAGGGGCGGTCGTTGAGGGGGGGTACTGTTGGGAGCTGGAGAAGTTCCACCTTTCTCCAGCAGAGTCCGCCGTGGATCCTCTAAGGGAGCCTCCTGCACAGCTGCAGTTCATCAAGATCATCAGAGGATCCACTACTTAAGCTGTCTTCAGACCTTGCCTCAACGCCGCAGTGTTGTTCCAGTTGGTCAGCGCTTAAGCCTAGATCCTCTGTGAAACTTATGACTTTGAATCCAGCCTGGATTCTAACCATTGTCTCTGTCTTCCAGGAAACCAATGTCTCCTCTGAGAAGCTCAGGAAGAGCTAACCTGCCGAGCCGACCCTCTGAGCCAAACCTGAAGAATCCTAGAGAACCTCCAAGCAGCTCAGGGCTAAGAGCTGGAAAACCTAAAGCCAAGGTCTGTGCATTACTAGAAGTGAGACGCTGAAGCAGCTAGCGGACTCTGCTGATGAACCCCTCTCCAGATCCAACAGAGACTCTCCCAAAGCTAAACCTCAAGAACCCTCAAGGTACAATCAGTAGGCTTCAGGAAATCAAACCTCTGTGGGCAACGCTAACTGAACTGTCTCTCACGCAGACTCCGGTGAACCAGTATCCAGGCCCCGAACCCGAACCAGTACATTCTGTGTGCTTGAGCAAAATAAACTTGTTAAACTTTCATCCCTGTGTCCGTCAGTGGTGTTCTGCATACTTGGGTCGCTTTTAGTGAACCCATCATGACACAATAAAAGGCAAAACTCTCCTCACTGTCTGTTTAATCCACTATTCTATGATCACACTGCAAAAAGTGATGTCCAAGTAGGTTAGTTTTTCTTGAAAGTAGCTTATTTTCCTTTGATTTGAATTGATAAATAAATTAAGATAAAAGTAAGATAAAAATTGTAAATAAGATTGAGATTATTTACTTTAAATGTAAATAATCTTAAAATAACCAAGATTATTTACATTTAAAGAAAGCAAGATCGCCATTTTCTTATTTTCAAATGGATAATATACACTTGTCTTATTATATGGTTAAAAAGTATCCCTTTGGCCGATCTTCCTGTTTAGCAGCTCAAATTAATGGCAAATACTTTTAATCTACAACATTCTTGCACATTAAGAGTACTTTTTACATTGCATGACCAAAATAAAAAAAAACACCCTTTAAATAATATTTGTGCTATTATCTATGTTACGACTGGTGTTGTCAATGTATGTTAATATGAGTGTGCAGGTGCCTGCCACCTATTGGTTCCTAGACGACGATGGAGATGTCCAATTGGTGGCCTCCCGGAAGTGGTGGATATAAAAGCTGCTGATGCGGACTTCCTGCATTCATCCTCAGCTTAACTCAACCGGCCACAGTGTTTAAACATCATATAAAGTTCTGGAGCTTGTAGGAGTGAGCTGCTGTTTCTGTTTCCTTAGTTTTGTCATGTTTTTCTTAGGAAGGTAAGTTTTTGTCATTTTGTTTATTTACTTTCATTTAGGTAAGTTGGTAAATATTCAGATAGTTTCCTTTTGTTTGTTGTTTTCGGCATTAGCTCTCTCCGAAGTCATATCCTCCACTTGTAATATTTTTTCCAAAAATACCTCTTTTTAAAATAAATAACATTATAGAATGTTTAACTCCGTGTGTGTGTTGGCTGCTTGGGAATTAAAGAGGATGGATCTTTCATGTTATGATCTGGCCACCTCTAGACGGGTCATAACAATCCATATCAAAGATTTATTTTTTAAAAACATTTTTGAAGTCTCCTTTTCTCAATCCCTAAAAGCCTCTCATATTCAGACCCGAGATGGATGCAAAGTACTAAAGAAAAATGAGAAATCTCATGGAAGCACATTTGAATGCCAGATAATAAAGAAGGATGGGATGAGATCTGATTTCCATACATGTCCTAGTCCAAACCTAGGGACGACCATGATGTTGGTAGTTTCTCATGGTCATGTTGCCGGAAAATGGTGCACTTTCCATGCATGTCAGAGGCGCATTTGTTTTCTCATCTGACCACATTCTCTTGTACCTCCATTTTTTTATTGTAGTTTAACATTTTCATAAAACAAGTGTCAACAGACACCAAGAACATCAATTAAAACTACAGCTCCAAGAGACAATAGTCATTATACAAACAGCAAAAACACAAACTCTTAAGAAGCGTGTTTCCTTTATTTTAAGTCAAAACCTTTATTAACACATAATAATAGACCAAAACCATGGTGGAAAAGACAAGCAGCAGCCAGTGGAGAGCTCTCCATTTGTGTGGCTTTTTACAGCTTCCTAGTGCTTCAGTCGCACAGCTCACCACACCTCTGGCACACGGCTGGAGGGTTTAAGTGTGAAAATGCTGGCAGGAGCATGTAAAACATGTAAAAACACTGCTCATTGAATAAAGGGAACACTCTGACACTAGATCTGAATGAATGAAATGTACTTATTGAATACTTTGTTCTGTATAAAGAAATTACACACAAGTCCTCAATGAAAATCTAATACATCACCAATGAAGTCCTGGATTTGGAGTCTCACTTAAGTTGGCAGATGGTCTCCTGAAGGATCGCCTCAAAGACCTGGACAACAGCATCCATTGTAACCTTATTGGGTTGGATGGATCAAGACATGAGGTGCCAGAGGTGCTCAATCAGATTTAGCTCTGGGGAACAGGCAGGCCACTCCATAGCTTCAATGCCTTCATCTTGCATGAACTGCTGATACGCTCCAGCCACATGAGGTCTAGTATCGTCCTGCATCAGGAAGAACCCAGGGCCGACCGCAGAAGCATATGCTCTTACAAGGGGTCTGAGGATCTCATCTTGGTACCTAATGTCAGTCATGCTACCTCTGGCGAGCACATGGAGGACTGTGTTGACCTCTAAAGAAATGCCACCCCACAACATCACTCACCCACTGCCAAACCTGTCATGTTGAAGGATGTTGAGAGGATGTAGAGAAATGCAATATTTGAAGTTAATAGCTGTAAACTGCTATCCGTTGGCTTGTGATTTTATTAGCTGATAGTGACTATTTCACAGTTTTCTTGCAACTGTAAAGTTAACATCTGGTTGTTGAATGTGAATGGTTTCATATTTCTAGTGTTTAAAATTTTTTGCTATTTTTTTTTCCAAGTTTCTTTTTTACAAATGTTTTATTCTCAACAGTCCGATCGGACCTAAAACCAATATAGAATATAGTAAAGAGGAAGGTGAAAGAGCAGACCCAGCAATGCAGTTGACCCTAGGGTCTCTATCAAAGCAACCTGGGCTTTAATTCAGTGTTTTAAAAGTCTCTCCTTTAACAACCCTAACTTTGGTTTCTCTTAAAGACTGTAAATCAGAAATAATTTAGGACTGCATTCAAAAATGGTAATATTGTATATTATAGGAATAATTTTATGCTTGACTGTAAACAATCTAAGTAAAGGGGGTTTGACAGAAATTACTCTTAAAAAAGTGAAATAAAGCATTTTATTTATCAATACATAAATAAAAATTGCAGTTGTTACATCTTAGGTGATATGTGCAGAGTTTAGTAGTTCTATAAATCAGAATTTTACATTAACAAATATACAAAAAATAAAAAATAAAAAAAAACAACAACATATATTTCTAAAGCAGGAAACTGCTAAAACATCCATTTATTTTAGAGGAACCAAATTTAAATGCTTGGAATAAGAGGTGATGCAGCAGATGGCCTGTTTTCACAGCAGGTTATACCGCTTCATATCTGCGCAGCCGCAGATAAATTGCTGCTGGCTGTAATGCTGAATATCAGTCAGAGGTGACCAAAGACACAAAAGAAACATGTTGGTGACCCACACACACACTGAGATGCACAATAAATCACTCTGACTTCTGCCAGATTCCTGATTAACCCACTGACCCAAGATGTAGACCACCACGGTGTTTCATGCGCACACACACAACAGTACAAGTTCTTAACAGTCATAAAGCAGAGAATATCCCCGTGTTTGTGCCTCAGAGGGAGGGTGCCAGCTTTAAGTGAAATTAGCAGGGGACTCATCTGTCCCTTTGCTTTCCATCCTGTGCCTCTCTCCTGGTGCCTGCATGTCCTTCAGGATCTGAGATTGATACTGGAGACACTCCTTCATCTTGTCCTCTGTTAGGGTGAGACGCTCTTCAAGCACAGAAACAGTCTGCAAGGAGAACGAGGGGGGTGGGGTGAGGGATGGTGGCAGTAATTATGCAGCCGTCACAGAATAATTACAGAGCAGAAGGAAGTTGGATGGCCTAGAATCAGTCTAGTCATTGTTCTGGAAAATGAAGTAAAAGCTAGAGATGCAGAAGAGACCGAGGAGGCCATGTTTACGACTTTATTTTCTCATTTACCTTAGCCAAAACTACTCACAATGAGACTACATACTGGAATAAGAAAATTAAAGTCAGGAGTCTCTTGATTGCAGTTTAATTTCAGCTATGTTCTGGGGACCTCAAAGGGTTGTTAAAAAACATGAATAAAGAATTAGAACAATGAAGACTCAGCTAGAAGAGCGAGGTGCGCGAGAACGCTGGGATCCTTTTTCCCCCTGGATCCCTGCTCTTTTTTGCCCTCTTGTCCCTCTGTTGTGGCACAAACTTGCCCCCATTTCCTCACCTCCTTGGCCGTATCTAGAACCACAGCTAGATCGTGGTTTTCCCTCTTGCGTTGTGGCATGGTATATATAAGAGAGCGCAGACCACGGTTCAATATTGGGCATAAATCAAACATATCTGCGACAAGCTCACCACGACACACTGCTACAGGAGTATAGTCCTTTAGAGTTAGTTAGCATTTTGATTTTCACCGAGACCTGGCTTAATCCTGCCATTCCAGACAAATCTATGGAGTTCCCCAGAGCTTTTTAGATCTCATGTTGGAAACTGAAGAAAATTGCAAAGCGGTAAGTCTAATGCGTTGAAACCACCCCCTTAAACTGAAAGACTGGGCAAGGAATGCTTTATTAACTGAAGCAAACAAGAGGCCAATCCAGCTCTGGAGGAGCTAAAGAAATCTCCAGCCAAAGCATGAAATCCTGTCGGCAGCACAAAATGGACCTGCCTTTTTTTGAAGTGTGACTTAAAGAAAGCAGTTTGCCAGATTTCATGTATGGGACAAAGCAAACATGATCATTATAGTCAGGTGAGAGCTACTGTATGTGAAGTAAAGCTGGATTATGCTATTTACTGAGACCTGGCTCATCGCAGCCACCACAGAAAAATCTACTGAGTCCCCCAATCTTTTTAGACAGTAGTTCCTATTCCGTGGAGTGATAGCAGCCAAAAAATGCTCCTAATACATACCAAGGTCTGACATAGGATGTACTAAAATGATTGAAATAGTCCAACAAAACACTATCATAAGTTTTCTAGCTCAAAAACCTTTGATTATTTGCATCCCGGACTTTTTCTCCTGTACTTTATCCGGAAAAAAACCCCCCAAAAAACAAAAGAAAGCATCACATAACTTTGAGGTTTACCTTTACTCAGTTCTTTGTTAGTGTTTTGCATCAAATCCTTAGGAATTACATGGTTGTTGTTCAAACATGACAAAATAAAGTTAAAGAGGTATGAATTAATGAACTAATATGAAGAAAAGACATCAATTCAAGTGATGATGAAAGCTTAGGCAGCTAGATCAAGCAGCACTTCGCTTGATTTGTTTCAACTCCATCAATCAAACCAAATCAAGTGAGAAATGACTAAAACTATTCCAAACAACAATGAGAGTTCAAAGGACAGACAGAAAATTTGCTCTTCGAAGCTAAAGCATCCTCATAGCTGACCTGCGTGAGAACATCCAGCTGTTGAACAATGTGCTGCAGGGTGAAATCCAGACTTGATGGATGACCTGAGAGGACCTCCAGTGGGTGGTTCTGTGCCGTGTCCTCTTCTTTCCTCCTTCCTCTTCCTGCACCGTCTGAGCCGCTCTGGTTCCCAGAATTTGACCCTGCCCAGTTGGTACTTTCACCCCCGGTCCACTCTTCTACTTTTGAACCACTGTCATGAAGTGCCAGGAAATCTGTCTGTGTGTGCGACAAAAAAGAAACCGTTTAGTGGCTGGACACTACTGAACTCAGCTATCATCGAGTTAGCTAACTTATAACCCATAATACAGTGCAGCTGAATACTTTGTATTCAGAAATCACAATAAGGATATTTATATGAGGACACAAAACAGCTTTATGAAAAACACTAGAAAACAAACTTAAGAGGACTGTTTCGTACAGTTTGTTGCTAATAATTGTAGGACCAGGGTAGGACCTCAAATCAAATGTCTTTACTGTTTTTTACCACAGTGGTTTCAGAATAAAAATATCGTTGGGGTTTTACTATCAAAGCATTTATAAAACTAATCACATTTCATATGTTCCTAAAGGGTTCAGCCCTTTTGTCAAACAAAAATCACCCAGTTGGGATTTGTAAGTAATGCAGGCAAGTTTTTTTAATCTGTATACCTTCAGAAATAGGATGTGACTCGGTCTACCAGCTGCGTAGTTCATGTTATGAGATGCCTCAATCAATTCACCCCCCAAAATCCAGCTGTTAACCCTTAGATGAACAACCTACCATTACCTACACTTTTCCACAGATAATTGGAAGGCCTAATCTGCCTAAAAGTATTTTTTTATAAGGGACACCTGAAATATGAATATATTATAACTTTTCATTTAAAAAATTTTATAGAATAGAAAGATCAGTTCTCAAAAAAGGGACTACAATACATCCATCTGCTGTTTTTCTAGGAATCCCTTTTTCTTCTTTTCTAGGGTAGTAGCTCAGTCTGTCCTCTTAAGCCAGAAGATAAGATGGACGGAGGATCTATTTTACTGAATGTCTGTTAGGTTTTAACAAAACAGAAAGATAAAATCTCACACAAACCTTTAATTAGGATCTCAGGAAATTGTAAAACTTTATGTTTAACAGGTGAAAGTCAAACCAGGACTGGAACACAGTATCCTGAGGGCAAATCACATTTCCTATTGTTAACATGCCACCCTTTGGGTAAAGCCAATTAGAGTATGGATTAAAAGCCTTTGAAAGAAGCCAGTTTGCCATCGGTCAATGTTAAATCAATGTTTTGTCAGTGACCAAATGCACACGAGATTTCAAATAGGTGTAACTAAATCAATCACATCATTCTCATAGAACATTTGCATCACCATCCAGGTGGTGATGGCTAGGTCATACATCTGCACCCAAGCAGCGGGTTTCTCTTTAAGAGGAGCTTTCTGAAAAGTTGGGACAATGCCGCTGGTTCTCAATAAAGTCTAAATACTTCCCTGGTGTAAGTTAAGAGGCTTTAACGGCTCTGGTGGACTGTTTGAAAGTCCAGATGTTCAGAAAGTTGCACTGTTTTGCCTTTATTTGTGCACCTATATAGACATACAGCAAGGTCTGGAAAAACATCCAGGTTTTAATGTGCTATACTCTGGGTAATAACTAGTTACTCGGTTACATTAGCTTACATTTCTATTTGAAAAAATTAACAAAATACTTTTAGCAGTTTTAGACTTTTTTCACTTTTACTCAAGTGAGAATATCATGAGTTATCTATACTCTTGAGTAAAATTTCAAGGCACTCTACTCATTTTGAGTAATTCACTCAATAAAAAACAAGCTTGTTAAAAAAAAAAAAAAAAGAATCAACAGAGACACAAACCTACAGCTTATACTCAAATTAGACTTTGTTTTTTACTCAAGCTTCATGGATTTCAGGTTCTTTTCTATCTGCTGATCAAGCAGGGTAATATCGAGATCAATAAAAATTCAGTATACAGTTTACAGTCTTGTTGATGCACTGAACTTACCCTATTTCAACCTATTTTAACACTTTAAGTATTGATAAGTCTTATCAGCCCGGCCAAGCCAGACTGAATTACACGGAGCTGGATTCAGTCTGGTAAACCGCCATTAACCAATCACGGTTTGGGACTTTATGATGCATCACTCTCAGCGCCTTTCTGCTAGCACAACAGCAAGATGGCAACAGCAACGAAGCAATGTTTTAATGATGGCCTTTCTAATGTCTAAAGTTAGAATTATGCAACTTTAAAACCTCAACAATAGATATCTTTAGTGTCATTTCATAAAAAAAAGGATGTGTTTTCTATTTTCGGCTTGGCATGTTCCACGGACCAAAATAAAATACAAAAAACAGAGCGCGTTGGTTGGAGTCACATCCGTAGTTATCTGATTGGTTCTAATCTCATGAGGGTGACCCTGTTAGACCCGTCTTTGTATTCCAGCTTTATTTGCTCTTAGCGAGACTGATAAGACGAGTATACGTTGTATCACCTGGCCCGGTTAATGTCTTATAACAAAATAAACTTGTTTCTTCCACCAGAAATAGGTATTGTCTAATTGATCTATATTATTACTTTATCATTGTTTGAAACACCAATATATTTATCTTTTTAACACTGAATAATTTCTAGAGTAGTAAATCTAATGTAAACAGGGCAGTATCTAAGTAACTGAGTAGCCTTTTTTTTCTCTTACTTCAGCGACAGCTTCAATCATTACATTTTACTTTTACTTCAGTAAAAATGCGAAGAAGTAGTGCTACTCTTACACGAGTAAAATTTTTGGGTACTCCACCCACCTTTGGCCACAAATAGTTGCGAAGTTGGAAAAACATGGTTCCTGCTTTGCCCTGGAGCAGACTCTGAGTCTGTTGTAATTTACTGGACTGGAGAGAGCTGATGTCTTATTTTGCTAGAACACACAAAAATAAGTTTATCTAATCCATTTTTCTATAACACTTTCTTCAGAAACACTGAGGTGATTTATTGCATAGAGAAGTAAATTACTTCAAACCATATTATATTTTACCTAAACTTTTCTGAGCACCTAAGAAAATGGGATTTTCTTAATAAGAAATAAAAACTAACAACCTCACAGCTGATTTACCACAAAGACAACTGCAGGTTTTATTGTAGGACATGAAGATATTAAATAGTCCCTCTTTAACAGCATTTCTCATAAAACTTAAATGCCTTGCAACTATTTTCAGGTAAAAAAAAAGCAATTTTTCATAGTTTTTTTTTTTTTGCTTTGTTAGGAATTTTACTTTAGTAAGGCATATTAAAATAAACGACAAAATGAGGGATCCTTTTTCACCACCTGAAGGAGGGACACAGAGAAAAATCTTTTTTTTATCCAACTAGAGTGTCTTGTTAAGGAATGCAACTTGAACTTTCCCAAGTATCATCATGCTGTAGACAAATTCCAAACATCTAATAAAGAAATAATGAAGGACATAATTTAAATTTTTTTTATTTAAAAGAAAATCTGAAAAGAATTGCCACATATAATGTTCGTGCCTCCTTTCTGATCATTACATTTACAGAGCTCAGATGAGGGGCTGGGCTTCACCTCAGAAAGCTCAGACCAAAATCTATGCAGAGAGAATCTGCCAAAAGTGCACATGCATAATAAACATAAGAGCAGTTTTATTTTAAAACACATGCATGTAAACTATTCTTCAGGTAGATTTTGAATTTTTTATGCATGGCATTAAGATTTAATTACCATATATCACATGCCAATCACATGGACCTGATTCTATGAACTAATGTCAACTTCTGTCGCTTTGAGGGAGAAACCAACCTGACAGAGTAAAAACTACCTGTGATCGGCTACTTTTCGGGGAATCTCGTCTCCTTAGACAGCGCTGTTTATTCCCTAGTTGCAGCTAGTGACGTAAGCAGAGCACCTTCACGCTAATCAGTGTCATATAAAAGGGTAAAATTCAGACTTTATATCTAACATCCAGCAAACTGATTAGAAAGATAAATGTTTGTGTTTAGCTGTAGAGGATAGTTCATTCAAGCCTCGCTTTCAGCAATGTAAATAGTGAAGCTAACTTTAGCTTAGCTCATAAAAGGTTCACAATCTAACATGAATCAAAAATCAACTTTTTGAAAAACATAAAAAAAAAGGTTTTAAATGTTTGAATCAGTAAAACCCAGCTATTTTTAATAAGAATCAAATGAATGAACTTTAAAGTAAGGTTATAAGCTGATGATCTGCAGAAACTAAGCCAAAGTTGGGCAATAGTAGTGATCTCTAATGGCACATCAGGAGGAACAGAAGGAGAAATTATTGAGAGATATGTCTGACGGATGGGAAAGAAAGAAAGGATGGGGAGGAGGAGGCTGTCACACATTCCTGACCTAATGCATGGAGCAATCGATTCCGGCTTGCTTCCTGCATGTTGTCCTCACTTCAAAGAGAGATTTTTAAGGAGGCAGTAAATGAAGGCTGATGGAGGGAGGAGAAGAAGGCAGGAGGAATGTGTTTAAAGAAAGAAGAAGGAGGAGGGAAGTCTCCACTTAAGTGAGAAAGAAGAGAACAAAGCTGTCAGTGTGGCAAACGGTATACTTTGCTATCCGGGTTCATTTCTTTTTCCTTTCTTCTCTTCATCTTTCAACCCCCCCCCCCCTTCCCCTTTCCTCTTCTTCTCCTCTTGGCCACATCTGGCCAACATCTGCTCTGCTCATTTGTGCTCAGCAGATCCAGACCTCTGTACCGCCTCCCTCCCTCCTTCTGCCAGGAAGTTCGGGTGTAATCAAACGTTTAAGAGGCAAGCCACCCCAGCTGGGTTTTCGTGTCAATCAGCACACATAGACACACACAGAGTGTTCAAACACATGTAGACGCCCTGTTTGTGTAGTATTAAACAAACACATGTGCAAATTGGTCACAACTGTACAACTAACAACTTCTTGCAAAATGAATCCAACTGTATAGTCCATTGGGTACCAAACGCAAGCAACGAGGATAAAACGGATGTGAAGCACCATGGGAGCACACAGATGCAAACTGATACTTTTGGGGACCTCTCTACACCCATCAAAAACTACTTGAGCTCAAACTCAACAGAACTCAACCCTGACATTGTAGACAAACCCCTACAATTTAGGGACGATAAAACTGTGCCTGCAAGGCTCTGCAGGAAGTCCCGGGTCACGGTATGCTGTAATTGCATTTAGTCGTGGCAGGAATGTCGTGTTGGCGTGCT